AGAGACAGGACACCTGACCTGAACTGACCAAAGAAGTATTCCATACCACAGCACGTCATGCCCAGGATGTAACTGAGAGTTACCCAGAAAGGCTGGGACTGCAGGGTTGGAGGAGGTATCGGTCAGAGCTTGGTTGGGCTGGGGGGGCGAGTTATTGGTCGGCTGGTGGTGAAGTGATCTATTCTCTTCCCTTGTTATTTCCTTCATCGTTGTTATTGGTGGTAGCAGTAGTGATCTGTGTTATACCTTAGTTACTAAACTGTTTTTATCTCAACCTGTGGGAGTTGCATTAGTTTCGATTCTCCTCTCCGTCCCTCCGGGAGTAGGGGGAGGGCAAGAAGAGGGGGGAGTGAGTGAACGAGCCCTCTGCCTGGTTTTAAACCACAACACCTGCACTGACTGGGGGTTGTACTTCCTCCCAAGGATTCCTAATACATTATTCTATCACTATAAAATTGCACTGAACTAAGAAAACAGGTAAGGAATAAAAGTAAATCATGGAAAGTAGGAATGAAAAAATTGAACAAAGGTGGGATTATAATCCTCAGAACAAGAAGAAATTTGATAGTTTGTCAGTTCACCAAAGGCGTCCAATGCTACTACTACAGAATTAACAAGGATTTTAAAATATAATCAAGTTTAACAAGTTACTATGCATCAGCACAAGCCTGGTAAGCCATTCTGTAATACCACTTACCCATGACAAACACAAGACAACTTGGCTAAGCATTTCACCTTCCCCGGGGAGTAAACTGTTACACTCCTAGTGCAGAAAGAGACAAGCTGGTTCTGAGACTGTAGCACAGTAATCTGCTAAGTTGTGGTAGCTTGACTTTATGTCAAACTTCTTAATTCTGCTAAGAACATAAGGCTAATGGGATAGGGGGAAGTGAAAAAGCCTTGCCAAATGTTTTTTTTAACAGGCTTGAAAATGATAGTGACAACTGTGTAAAAAGCTTTTCCATCATTTGACAACACCATTGTCATTGCCAGTCTTCTATAGCCTGGTACTTCTCCTCTTGTTCCACTTACAACTACCACTCGTAACTGCACCCGCCTTTTTAGTTTACTTGGCATTAACTCAATAAAAACATTGACACTGCAAATGATTAGCAGATATAAAACCATTAATATAACTATGTTTTAGGTAGACATTCAGGGGATGGAATTTAAAATGACGAAGTCTTCCTAGCCACAGAACTGAAGTATCTTGCTTGTAAGCAAACAACCTTTGTGTTTTAACAGACTTGCCCTCTGGAGGTGGGACAGCAAGAGCTTTCCGTAATGCTTCAGCTGAGAATTTTGGTGAAGGGGTCTGTAGCCAAGACTCCTGATCACAGTACCTTTTATATTTGTAATGCAAATGGGGCATACCATAGCTTTTATTCTGATCACTCTGAACTTCAGCGGAGATGCAGGTATACAGCTGAATTCTGTCTATTTTGAGCTTTTTATGCCCAATTCACATTTTTTACCAACTTTGCTATCACTAGGACTTTAAGGATGTGCCCAGAGGCTTTGCTGAATCGGGGCTTTTGGCTTATCATCAAATTAAGGGAAAAAATGCTGTAACCCAGTCACCTGACTCAGTCACAGCTGTAATGTACCACACTAATCTCCACATTTATTAAACACATGCTCCCTCTGGAGCTGGAGATGATACAGTAACAGCTGCTTTATTCTGGTTTCTTTTTAAGCCATGAGGAAACAAATACAAATGTGTCTGGTATAATTCACCATGTTCACACCTACTATTGCAATTAAGGTGTATTAAGATAAACAACTGTTACGTTCTCCCTATTTTTTACAATCCATCCTCCCTTCCGTTCTTTCTCCCTGTTGCTGCCATCATTACTATGAGTAAACCAGTTCAAAATCTGACTCAATGAAGGGAAATTAAGTTTTATGCAAAAATAAATGAGGTAAGTTGTACTTGGCATAGTATCTTCCCAAAAAGATACTGAGACTACACATAAGAAATCAACAGGCCTATAATGAAGACAGTGAAATTAAGCAAATACTGGGAAACCAGGGTTTGCCCTGAGTTTAGTGTCAGCCTGGCCTTCCATGGGTATAAAATTTGTATCTCTTTGGGGATCATTAATTTTCTTGTCCACAGGAAACAACAAGAACAATTCTAGATGGCAAGCAAATATCATTTGGGACACAAAGATGACATTAAAAGCCCCTACCATGAACTCTGGTGTGGCTTTTACTACAGCTTGTGGGTAGGAGCACGATAGTACAATACACCCCTGAAACACTGGCACAGGCACAGTGCATCTCTCAAAGCTGAGGAAATTCACAAAGCAGCCAACAATTTTCAGGAGGGTATCTCATATGAGAAAACACCCTTCTCGTGGCTGGTTAGTGCAAAAAGGGAGATATTCCTTCCTCTGCTCAACCCCCAAGAGAATATGGAATGCTCTTTTCCATCTCTGAAACTACCACACCATTTGAAAGTGTTGATAAGCTTGAAACACGTGATCAGCATCAGCCTTACCGGTGGCTGAGGCAGGTGAGCTGGGCCTGCAGATAGGGCATTGCTGAGGCTTGGTACCGCTCCCTTCATCCCAAACTCATTCCAACTCTGAGTACATCCTACTTGCACCTTGCAATGCTTCTCCACTTTTCCAAAGGCATTTGAAAACAGAGGGGAAAAGGTGGCAGGAAAGTGCATGAATAACCTTGTGGTTGATTGTTTTAGACTGAGTCCTTGAAGAGACTTTAGGTAATGTCAAGGACACCGAGATTATGTGACTGCACATGTATTTTTCAGACAGAAAAGTAATCCCACTGCAATTAATGGATCTTATTATGCTCAAAGTCAAGAAGCTTGCTAAAGGTCTTTGGTGAGTCAGCATCTCTGTGTTTGGATTGCAGTGCTGGCTGTGTGGTGTGCCTTTGCCTACTTCAGCCTTGTTTACCAACAGAGGTATAGACACATTCTAGCCTTAAGCACAATTCTGCCTAAATACTTTTGTGTATTTTTGTGTTCCAACAGTTTCTGTAGAGGCACTTAGATGCGAGACAGATGAAAGTCAGTAAACACAGATATTAAAAAAGCCATTTACTTTCTCACCATGCATATTTCCTATTTGCAGTTCAGTCACCTCTGACAACTGAAAGAGATCATTAACCTTATTTCCTTCCTCCAGCATACTCACCCAATATATTTCTGTGGGGGATCATGGCACTACAGTTTGTTATTACTGTAAATTGGCACTTTATTTTTGAAAAGCTACAAACTGTTTGCTCATAAAACACTTTGCAGTCATCATTGTTCTACTTGGCAGGTTGCTTGGGGTTTTTCAGATCTAAAATAATTTGATGTTGGCTCAAATTAAATAACTGTGCCTATATGGCATTTGCTCTGTAAACAAGTTAACACAAATATATGATTTCCATGCATATTCATTATGTGCATATAGAAGTCAACCTTCAGATCTACTCCTCCAGTCTTTCTGGCAAACTAGGAATCCTCTTTCCAATAAAAAAATACCCTCTCCCACAAATAACCTATTCCTTAGAAGAAGCTTTTGCCTTTACAGTCTCATTTTTCATTTATTTTATTAGTTTCCATCTCAGATAACTAAATTCTCTTTTATTAGACCTGGGAATTTTTACAATGTGCAAATTGAAATAATGATTGTATCGTAGTACTCTGCAAGTGGTTTTCATTAAGCCTCCAGCTACTATTCCTTGCTCTGTTGGATAACTTTGTGTCAGGGTTACTTCATGCTGGACAGAAATTTGAACAATTTATGTTGAAAAGAATGACTAAAAACCTACTATATAATAACCTTTAAACCACACTGGTTGATAGAGCTTAATTGTATATTCTTGTCTGAATCAAAATACCTCAATTGCTTAAAACTTAATAATCATGCTAAAGAGTGGAATGTATTCTGGAGATTCACACTTTTGAAAATTAAAATTACTACATTCTGCTTACACAGAATTCTGATTCTGTGTAAGCAGATACACAGTGCCAGAAATATATTTACATTTCTGAGATGCTACACTACGACGTTTTGCTTTCTTGTCAACAGAGTGACTAAATTCATGCTCTTGTGCTCAAGTAGGATTTTCTGGTTAATTCTTGGGACTTAAAATAGTTCAGAACCATTTGTGTGGCTTGCTGAAATTTACAGCGTGCTTACATTGTTGATAACCAGACTCATCTTGCTCCTTTGTCATTCTGTATTGCCTGTTGGTAAATGAGTTTGCTAGCATATATTCCCATTGCTGCCAGGGTCACCAGAAGTCTGAATGAATACAGAAAAGCGTCCACTTAATTGCAAAGATTTATAGCTATGCTGTTTTCTTTTCTCCCTTTCCACTCAAACTTGTCTTCCATGTCTGACATGTATAGAAAAGGGAGAGCTGTTTTTCTAGTCAAAATCAGCAGCAGACAAGGATCACAGATTTGCAGGGATTCCTTATTTCCACTGCTACTTGTATAGGCAACAGAGAAGCAGTTTTCTAATCCACCCTAGACAGGGTACTGAACCAAAGAAAAATGTTTTGTCAATATAATATCAGCCATCATCAGTCTGCAACAAAGCAGTAAGTTACATGACTGGCAGAAAACCATAACCTATATAACTTCCAGAAAAAAACAAGCTGTTTGTTTTGATTGAAGATACCATGCTCTCTAAGGTAGAAGACAGCTGAACTATTATACAATAAACAGATGAGAAAATTTTAAGTCTTGGAAACTCAGAAGCAGAAAGTTACCATTTGAAAATCTGCCTCTGCCTCCCCAAAGAACCTGCTGTTTGAACCAAGTACAATTTCTATGTCAAACTAAAGTCTTCCCCCCCCATCTTATTTATGGCTCTACTACAGGTTTGGGTAGCAGAAGAATCAATCAATTCCAGCCAACCAGTGAAACAATCTTGGGAACTCTGGGGATTAAAAAACAACCCAAACAGTTTCCGCATTTCTGATTGAACATAGCTATTCTAAAAATCACGATTTACACACTGAAAACTTACCAATGGAGCGATGAATGCAGGTATGCTGGTTATCACTCAGAAAAAAGCCCTCTTTGCACTGACATTCATAGCTGCCCATAGTATTTACACAAATCTGCTGGCATCCTCCATTGTTATCCTGACACTCATCAACATCTAGAAGAGAGAAGGAAAAAGAAATGCAAGGTAATGTACAGACTTGGAATATACTTCTAGAAGAGCAAGGAATCCATGAAAAGGCACACCGTAAATTAAGCGAATGAAAACTACTCAAACCCCATCAGAGTTAATCCAAATTAATCCATCTAATTCTTTTTCTTGCATCCTAGGTTTAAAGTTAACATAAAAAAACAGTGGGGAGGGAAGTCCAGCTAAGACTCCATGCATTCTGAGCCGCAAATTGATTTCCAATGCACAATGAATGTTAACGTCCTAAAAAGGCTGTGACCCCATCTGCCAAGTGTGGTGTTGCACTCTGTCATTCCCACTCCACTTGGAAAGACATACTTCAGGCCTACAGTAATTTCTAGCAGTGGTAGCAGGCAAACACAAAGGGCATTACTGGGTGAAAAGAGTCTTTATAGAGTTCTGGTCTTGAACAGAACAGCATGTTTCAATTACTGGAGTCATAACCCCCTACTTTGTCAGTTTGTTTAATGTTGTTTAATGAAAAGAAGGCTTCTTAAATCTAAATGTTCTATGTCTGTATTGTCATTTTAATAGGCAAATATATAAAACCACAAAGGCAGCATTAGCTACTGGCTGTTTTGAGGGTCCCTGCCTATCCCCCATCACCCCTCTTTGGCATAAAGTATAAAAAAACTTTTTATGCTGTTGTGTTTAACAGAGACATATACTCCAGTATTGGGAATCCACCGCCAGTGAAAGATATCTGACCCACATTCAACCTTGTAACTCTCCTGTTTTGCAATAAAAGGTATATCATACCCATTTTCTGTTTTTATTTTGGATAAAAGCGACCTGCCACCTGAAAATTCCACGCTTTCCTTTCTTTACGGAGACTGCAACCAGTTAGTTATTTCACAGTTTGTGCCAACAAGTCAGTAAATGAGTTGGTATGTGTTTTGCTTTCATTTTCTTTTTGGAGGGTGGGAAAAGCACAACAAAGCTAAATGATCCACAACACTCAAAACCTCAGAAGACCTGGCACAGCTCCTGCAAAACAATTCTCCCAGGACTTTCCACAATACGCTAAGGTAAAACCAAGCTGCTTTTGCCAATACTCTTGCAGGCAAGGCCAGGAATCTCTGAAATACTGCAGAAACTCAGCCAGTAACCAATGCAGGAGCGCTGGCTAGTTCTGGCAGCTTGCTCAGCTAAGACTGCTATTGCTGTTTGTGCTGATGTGCTACCTGCGCTTCATATGACAGAAATTGTAGCTCTTTTTTCACAGAGAAATAAAGCTCCAGGGTAATTACAGAATTACCGAGGGAAAGCAGGCAGCCTCCCCCTGTCTTGAACTACAAGGCAAGTGTGTAGACAATCCTGCTTTTTTATTTACCAGGAAACTAAGCATTATTGCCTCCAAATTTCTGTATCAAAAACCTCCCTGTGCTTAGTTCTTACTCTTTCCAGATTTGAACCTTTTCATAACCCATCAGAGCAGTTTGGAAACACACTGGAAAAAGAGAAGTGAAGACTTTCCTTTCCTACTGCAGCATAAGAAGGAAAGCCATGTAAGACGACTTTGTGAGACCCTTCCTCTGAGAGTCAGCAGGCCTTGCTGTCCTATTAGTGCCATGTTGTTCCTTCAAAACAGCACAGTGGAATATAGATACTCCTCTCTGGAAAATTATTTGAATTGAAGGAAAAAGTCTCAGTTAGTATATGTACAAACCCCAAAATTTCACCACAAAGTACACAGCCTTCTCTGTTTATAGTATCACAAAGTAACTCCAGCCATTGCCTTCCAGCTCTGATGAATAATCTGAAACAAATGCAATGATTTATAAACATTATTTTTCTACTCTTGATAGCAACTGCTGGTGATTTACCACTTCCATACAGAGAGCTCAATTTACCACCAAGCCCCAGATTCATATGCTGAACTAAAAGTTACTACAATTTAAACTCTTTTAAAAGTTTTACTACGAGGAATTTCTTCCAATTGTTTTCGATTACTTGACTCAAAATTATTTTAACATGTATCTATGAACAGAGGGAGTTAAGAAAGGGAGCAGCTGAGATCTACAACTGCTACAGCCCTATCTCCATATTACATGCCTTCCAATAAAACTTGGCCTGGTGCTGAAGGCTTAACATTTTCTCTTCTCAGGCCTCAATCCTGGGTCAGGCTTTTTGGAGCACTTTGTGTTACTGCAGTCTTAAAAGGCAGTATTGCTTATTAACCACCACACCAAGCAATCTATCAGGCATGGGTGCCCAGAAAATATTTACTGAATTATTTACTTGGCAAACTTTCTTTCCAATAAAGTTATTTTATAATCACCCTATTATGAACCCAGTTTAGAGGATGGGGTGAAAAACTCTGCAGTTAGGAGAGAGAACTCCAATGATTCCAATGAGCTTGAGCTTTGGAAGATCTGGCAGAATAATTCCTATCTGAATTTTTTTCAAAGCTCACAAACTAAATAGCTGCCAAAGGGGCTTTTTTTTCTTTAATTGTGCAACTCTTTTTCAATGAAGCTCAAGTTACACAGCTGAACATGTAAACATCAGTAATGCCGCATATGTGAGACTGCAATTTTGGACCAGTTTTTCTAGAGATTAAGTTCCACATAAACACCCAAATAAGTAGCCAGGTTTTCAGTAAAGCCATTCTGGGTCCAGTTTTGGAGCCATGTCAAACTCAACTGTTAACTGTTTTGAAAAAATGAGGGTGGATCCTCAAGAGCTTTGTTACCACTCCATGTGGCACCTGCTGGAGACCTGTGCCTCAGCACGTAACTAGATATAGTCCCTTAGGATGTAAAACCCCTTCACTCAAACATCTACTGTAAACCCCGACTAAACCCATTTTAAAAACTTTCAAATTTATTGAGCACAAATGCAAAACTTGTTTTATTACTCTACTCTTTATAAAAAGTAGATTTTTCTTTTTCTAGAGCCAACAGAGGTGTCTTTGGCAATCTGCTGCACAAAATCACCTACCACTGGTCATCTTACCCAGGACAAGGGTTGCCTCCCTGAGGACAGCAGCCACAAGACAGCAGGTGCAGTCTCCCTTCCTTTAAACTGGTATATGGAAACTCACATCCATTTCCTAGGCTCCTTATCTGGCAAAAGTTCTTTCATCCAGGTTAGCCTCATGACCTGAAACAGTGTGCTGATTCCCAGAGTACATTATTCACTGCTTATGGGAGAACTGAGCCTCAAAATTCTACTGATGATCCCAGGGTGGAAGCTGGAGCAAGAGTGCAGCAAACCTACACAATCCAAACTCGCAAAAGGATGGAAAAAGGTTCTCACCTGAGCTGAGCTCAGATGGTTATCCCACATGGCTGCTCCAACCCTCATCCTCAAAAGAGGAGGAAAAACTAGGAGAAAGCTAATATATGTCCTTAAGCCATTCTGTGTAACATTCACCAAAGTGACTGTTCTGTGGTTACGTTTACCAAAGACAATCCCTGATGGAAGCATTTAGAAATAACTCAGTTTCCACAGCTCTTAACTATTCCTTACCAGTACAAATAAATAGCTAAGGTGACAATCAAAACAAGAGCTAAATTACTTATACAGAGTTTAGTACAGAGTGACAAATCTATGTTTTCAGGGAGATGAGGACCTGGACTTCAAATTGGCCAGTCATCATCAAGGACAACAAGGAATAAGGGAAATGCCAGCTCAGGGAGAGGCTGGGAAAGGAGAAGTATCTTTCAAAAGAGAAGGAGAGATAAAGGATGCATATATACATACATATATAGATATATCTATATATCAGAAACATTAGGCAAATTAATGCATATCTGAATTTGCGTAAGACCTCTAGCTTTTTGGCCCACTGCCTTCATATAATTAAACTTGTATTCTGCATCTTGGTAAAATGAGATCCTCTAGAGAGCAGTATTGTGGAACAGTATCAAAGGGTATGAAACATTACAGTTGGTAAAGATGGATGTTTTATTTATTAAACAAACAAATGCTTTTGGTTTATCATTTAATTTATCTGATGAACTTTTCAAACTAGCTCCACTGGAATTTCACTCTGATCTGGCTCAGAGCTTCCTGCAGTATTTGGCCTGAAGAAGATATTCTGATTGAGTCCTGTTTGGATACCACTGAGACAGAAAGGTCTGCTAAGGGTATCTGAAACCAAAGCCACAAGCAGGAAGATATAAAAGTGAAAACACTACACAGAGTCAATGTCAAGAACAGTTCGTCCACCGTCCACTTCCTTCCATGAGCTTCCCTTCCTTCCTTCTGACATTTTTCTTTCACGTCAGCTTTTTCATAAGCACTTAATCCCCTTGGAAATCTGAGTCTCATCTTCAAAATCTCCAAAACACTAGGGAGCCACAGTACAATTCACTTATTACAGCATTAAGATTCTTTGGAGACTTCTGAAAACAGGACCTTGATTTATGATCCGAGGAGCTGATCCTGCTAGTTTTTCTCTAATGTAATCTTTGAGAATTTTGGAAGATTTCTCTAAGATGCCTTTTGGACCAGTGCAGAACATAGTGATAAATAGATGATCTACTGATAGCAGTACTGCAGACTGTCCTCAAATGGTAGCAACAATACACCACAGAGCATATCTGGTATTCATAGGAGAAATTATTAGCAACCGGAAACTCAGAGAATCTCAAAGCCTGATTCTGTAATTTTAAAATCATTATATTCTGAAAATGAGGATGAAAGCCTCATTAAAAAAATTAAAAAATTTAAAAAATCACATTCCTGGATTTACTACATAGTTATTCTTACACCAGGAGAACACCTAGTCCAGCATCCTCTCTTCGACACTGCCCTATAGATGATACTCAGGAGAAAACGGTAGAGATGGGACAGAACCACTGCTGGCAGGTTCTTCCAGCTTTCAGCAGTCATGTACCTATTAACCTTCCTAAACCACTTGCTAGTCCATTGTCCTGCTGGATCTTTCCTGTATTGATTTCTCTAATCCCCAATATGATGGAACAGTTATTTCTGCAGTTTAATTAGGAGTTACCTAA